GCTATAAACATGGTTGTACAAATATCTATTTAAGTTCCTGCTTTCAATTCTTTGGGTAAATGTGGTAATTCTATACTTAATGTTTTAAAAACCACCATCTTATATTCCATAGCAGCTGCATCATTTTATATTCCCAGCAGCAATGCAAAGGGTTCCAGTTTTTTCATATCCTCACCAAGACTTGTTTCCTATTTTTGATAATAGTTATCCTAACGGTCATGAGATTGAGCCTGCCTCAGGCTCCGTGCTGGGCATGGAGCCTGCTTAAGATTCTCTCTCCCCCGTGCCCCTCCCCACCCTGGCTCACACAAACACACACACACACACACACACACACACACGAGCTCTCTTAAAAAAAAAAAATTATCCTACCAGGTATGAAGTGATATCTCATTGTAGTTTTGATCTGCATTTCCCTAATGATTGGTAATATTGAGCACCTTTTCATGTGCTTATTGGCCATTTGTATATCTTTTTTGGAGAAATGTCTATTCAAGTCCTTTCCTCATTTTTAAATTAGGTTTTTATTTCTTGGTTGTTGTTACCAAGTTTTAGAAGTTCTTTATATATTCTAAATGTTAAGTCCTTATCACATCTGTAATTGGCAAATACTTTCTCCTGTGGGTTGTCTTTTTTCTGTTGCTATCGATCGTCCTTTGATATACAACCTGAGGAGTTTCTTAAAATGCAGACTGTAGATCCCCACCCTAGACCTACAGAATTAGAAAACCAGGAGGATAGTGCTTGAACATCTGTGCTTAAAAAGTGAACCAAGTGATTATTATGCCCAACTCTCTTAGTTGTTGCCCTTAAATTTTTTTGTTAAAACTTAAAAAGATTTTTTGGCATAAACTTGAAAACTGACCAAGATATCCTAATTCTTTTTTGATGAAATATAAATCCTAACACAATTATCCCCAAACTCCAATGTTTTATTGAAATTATATGGAATTTTAGTTTTTGATTCTTATTTTTTTTTCTTTTTTTTTTTAAGATTTTATTTATTTGAGAGAGAGCACAAGCCAGGGGAGGGGCAGAGGGAGAGGGAGAGAGAATCTCAAGTGCACCCCTTGCTAAGCAGAGCCTGATGCAGGGCTCAATTCCAGGACCCTGAGATCATGACCTGAGCCGAAGTCAGACATTAAACTGACTGAGCCACCCAGGCACCCCTCTTACTAATTTTCTTATACCATCCCTTCATATTCTTGAGAATTCTTTCTTTATAACTGCATTAAGCCTCTCAACTAAACCATCAACAATTATTTAGACTTAAATATAAATTTCTCAGTTCCTAGATGTCAACAGTTGCTTTATTTTCCCTCACATATTGATATTTTAGCCATTGATTACAACTATAAATCAAAATTATTTTCTTGCAGATACCATCATATGAATTTTGTCACTTTGACAACTTCAACTGTCTTCCAGAATTCTATAATGTAGATGAAAAGTCTGTTCTTCAAAGTCTGTTTTTTTATTTTAAAGATTTTATTTATTCAACAGAGAGAGACACAGCGAGAGAGGGGACACAAGCAGGGGCAGAGGGAGAGAGAGAACCGGACTCCCCTCTGAGCAAGGAGCCCAATGTGGGACTCGATCCCAGGACCCTGGGATCATGACCTGAGCTGAAGGCACCCTCAACGTCTGTTCTTCTGAAATGAGTGTGATTTTCATTTATTTGTAACCTGTTTTGTTCTTTTTGTCTTTATTTTATAAATAATTTTCTTTCCCTCTTTCTCACTCTGGCATTGTTTAGCCCCTTTCTTTATCTCTGCAACTTAGAAATATCACCAATATGTGTCTGTATATTTTCTCTCCTGCCCTGTCATTGTGTTCTAAAATATTCATTCCTTTTATGTTCCATATCAATCTCCATTTTCAGTCCTCTCCATTATATTACTTAGACCTTGAACTGAATTATATGGCAATAGTTTTAATTTCTAAGAATTTCTTTTTTTTTTTAAGATTTTATTTGAGAGCGAGAGAGCACAAGCCGGGGGGAGGGACAGGGGGGAGAGGGAGAAGCAGACTACCCACTGAGCAGAGCCTGACGCAGGGATCATGACCTGAGCTGAAGGCAGATGCTTAAAGGACTGAGCCACCTGGTGCCCCTAATTTCTAAGAATTTCTACTTTTCTCTTCTATGCACACTTTTTTACACGGTGTCCTATTCTTATTTTATTTCCTTCAGGGTCTGTTTCTCATCTTGGCCCTTTTCTTTCATACTGTTGGTTTTATTAAACTATCTCATAATTCTTTTTTTTTTTTAAAGATTTTATTTATTTGAAAGAGAGAGCGTGAGCAAGAGAGAGAGCATGAGCAAGGGGAAGGGGAGAAGCAAGACTGCCCTGCTGAGCAGAGAGCCTGACGTGGGGCTCAATCCCAGGACCCTGGGATCATGACCTAAGCCGAAGGCAGTTGCCTAACCAACTGAGTCACCTAGGCGTCCCCTATCTCATAATGCTTAATTTTCCATTCATAATTACAAATGAGGAACTGGGTAGACTGCATAGGAAAGCTGGTCTGGATTTCTACGCAGCTACACAGGTCAATTTAATCATTTCCCCCTTTTTATGTTCCATGGAGATCTGGGATTACTTTAGGTTCAGCTCTGCTTTATGATCTGGTCTTAATGCCCACTGTAAAAACCTCCTGTCAGTCTGATTCCCCACTTATTTATAAAATTTATGAAATAAATCTTTCACCTTTGATCAAGGGGCATCTGTTGTAGGCCAATCCCTCTTTATATATGGGGTGTAGGAGAGGAAATGGCTTTAGAATTAGCACATCAATTAATTTCCCACAAGAATTCAGTCTGGTCTCTTCCTACATCTTACAGTTGCTGACCCAAGCTTGAAATTTCTCTGTGCTCTCCTACCGACTTTGGACTGTGGCTTTTCTCTGCTGGTTTCTTGATCATATATACATTCTGTTTACCTTCTATCTTCTAGGAGTTTCTTAAAACTTCTGATCTATTAGTAGTGACCCTCCCTCTCTTCCTGCAGTATTATGGGTTTTTTCCTTCTTCTTAAACCAGTCCTGTCATAATAATGGGATTTTGAGATGGACAGAAAATAAACTGCTATTATCAGCCTGCCATTTGGGTTCAGATTCAGGGCTATCTTAAATACAATTTTTTTCCTAAGGTTTTCTCTATCTTCTAATCACAGTAATATTATAAGCAACCTAAAAGAGTCAAAAAGGAGTATTTTTAGATAAAAAGTACTTGTAGGTCACTTTAAATTTTGTCAGTATTATACCTGTCAATTGCTTGAAGATCATTGGCTGGATTCCAAGTAGGATCAAATAATACAACAACATTGGCACCAACAAAATTGAGGCCTAGTCCACCAGCCCTGGAGGAAACAGAAAAGGGCATATTAAAATAGCAAAAACATAATTGTTGCCCTCTAATTCAATTGTGCCATGTTTCTGTAACCAAATCAAATCAACCAATCTATAATCAATATTGCATTAACATCATAAAAGTAAGATGATTAAAACACAAACATGTCACAAACGAAATAGCTATGGGATATTATTTTTCTACCATTCTAGAATATCCCTAAACAAACAAACAAACAAACAAACAAAACCTTACCGTTAAAGCCCACATAAGTAGGTTGTGCTGTTTTTTTCATTTTTTGGATATTCAAATACTATGCTATAAAGATTTTCCTAACATACTTTCTAAAAATTTCAAGTATAGTCCAGCTAAATAAAGTACTATACACATTTTTAAAAATCAATACAGGAGTAGATGTACTTCTTATTCCTTCCACTAAGTGCAGCTAAAAACCCCTGGACATCATATTTATATAAGATTCTAAAAGGTAGAGAGAACAAGATTGGCTAGGGACTATACGAACTAAGGAATGACATGGCAATGAGTTCTCCAGCTATCTTTTTTGCTTAAAAATCCCAGACTGGGTTCTGGAGAAACCAGCATACTGGAAATGCCAACAGTCAAGACAAAAAATCCCCCAAGAAAAGCCTTCTTCCTTTAGCCAAAGAACCAGGAAAGGTATAGCCTTTAAGACAGAAAGATAATAACAGCCTATCCTTGTAAATACCATGGAAAAAAATCTATGGTCCCACTCCCAACCTGGTCAGTAAAGACTGAGTGAGGAGATTAGATTTCCACCCTTGCCTAACTACAATGGGGTGCCTCTCACCCACACCCAGGGAGTGTCAGAGAAAACTGACTGAGGAGCTGGGGACATTCATTTATGCTCAGCTATAACCAGATTCCCTCTGTGATGTCAGTGGAGGCTGTATAGAAACAGTAATGAAGTGCCTCACTCTCAGGATGTCAACAGAAGCCAAGCAAGAAACACAGATTCCCATCCTTATGCGGCTGGCATGGTGTCTGGCTAAAACAAGGAAAAAGCCCCACTATAGATAAGCTCAAAATAAAAAATAACAAAATGTGTGAAGAAACCATCTACCATAAGCAAGAGCCAGAAAGAACAACAAACAGAGGGATTAGCAGCCCCAAGTACAGGAGTTAATAGAGCAAAAATGCCATTCAAAAAGAGATTTAAAAAAATAATGATTAAAATTACTAAAGAAATAAGAGAAAGATTAGAAACCATAAAGAACAAAATATGAGTAAAAACAGGCAGATCTGAAAATATCAATAGGACTTTTAAACATGAAAAATAGTCTTTAAAAATTCAATGAATGGGTTAAATAACAATTTCTAATATAAAGAGATAATTAGGAGCTTTATGGCAAATCTTATCAAATCAGATGGAGTGAGCAGAAAAGGAATGAGAGATGACTGCTTGTCATCAGAAGTTCTATACTATTTGAACTGTTGTTGAAGACGTTTATGACTTTGAAAAACATTAAGAAATTAAAAATGCTTATTATTTAAAAAATTAAGAATGCTTGTGTGTACTTTATAAAACTTAACTGAAGACAATATTCTATGTCATTTATTGCTCTATAGGTAAGGAAGGGCTCATGTGAGAAATTACTTCTTGATTCATTCACAGGAAAATGGGAATCCAGAGCGTCTCTCCTTATGACTTCATTGCAAGAATTTGAGAATAACTTCAGGGTTCAACAGTAAGTAGCTCACTCATCATATATATAATTTTATTCCTCATTTTAAGTAATTATTGTGTTGACTTTTTACATTTTACATATGTTTGTTTTTAAAGTCCTTTGAAATTCTTTTTGAAAGATAGTGGGGGCAGATCTATAAAATACTTATTACATTAGATGTCCAAGTAAGGATTTGTTAGCCCCAAAAAGGGATTAATCTTCTTAGGTGTTTATATTGGCTTAAATCTTTCTCTAAAGTGCGTATATTCTTTAAAAGGTTTTAATGAGAAATTCATAAATAGGTGTTAGAACTGACCTAACTTCTATAAAACCTATTAATATGGAGCTGCTGTGGTTAGACCAGGTAGACAAAGGGAGGAAGTACATGGCCCACTAAGTCCAGTGGGCTCTCTAGTGCTCCTTGAGCACAGTTTAAAAACCACTGCTACAAATGATTCTCAGTTATATGATTAATAACTTGATTATTCAATTAAGTCTGACTGTTCTGACCACAAGACATGAATAAGAACACTATCACAGAAAATTCCTGGGAGGAAACATCCATTTCTTTTGATTGTTATCTTTATAAACCCAGACATATAAGGAGAATTCAGTGATGATAAGGAAATTGAGAGACAAGGTTAGGTAAAACTCAAGATATTGTTATTTCAGTCATAATTAATAGCATTTTTGCTGCTTCTCCTTAAAGCCAAATAAAACAAAGCAATATAAGCATAACCACTGAAAATTAATCCAGTAATAATTTTTAAATTACCCTAAATCTTAAAAGCAGTTAGATAAAAATCAAGTTATCAAATTTTATTTTCTTACATTGTGGAGACAAGGCAAATGTTAACATCTTGTGTACTGTTGAACTCTTTCACAATCTTGATTCTTTCCTCTGATTTCGTACTTCCATCAAGTCGTCGGTAATCAAGGCCGGCTGCCATACAGTATTGCTGCAGAACATCAAGCACCTAGAGAAAAGACATGAAAAAGGGCAAAGACAAATTCATGGTTTAATAAGTTTCATACCACTATAGAGATAAGATTTACTAAGTATTAATAATTGCTGCTTACAAGTTCTTTCTTACAATTACAAGAGCAACAAATATTTTCCTGGCTTCTGGCTCATGTATTTCTTCCCATTATCCTGAAACTGACTTTAAAGTTCACCAATGTTTGTCTTAAAAAAAAAAAAAAATCGGGCGCCTGGGTGGCTCAGTTGGTTAAGCAACTGCCTTCGGCTCAGGTCATGATCCCAGGGTCCTGGGATCGAGTCCCACATCGGGCTCCCGGCTCAGCAGGAAGCCTGCTTCTCCCTCTCTCACTCCCCCTGCTTGTGTTCCTGCTCTCGCTGTCTCTGTCTCTGTCAAATAAATAAATAAAATCTTTAAAAAAAAAAAAAAAATCGGGGCACCTGGGTGGCTCAGTTGTTAAGTGTCTGCCTTCGGCTCAGGTCATGGTCCCAGGGTCCTGGGATCAAGCCCCGCATCGGGCTCCCTGCTCCACGGGAAGCCTTCTTTCTCCCTCTCCCACTCCCCCTGCTTGTGTTCCCCCTCTCGCTGTGTCTCTCTCTGTCAAATAAATAAAATCTTTAAAAAAAAAAAATCAATCTTTTAGAAAACAAAAATCAAACTTTATTGTTTTTAAACTAAAACCGGATAAAAATAAAAGTATTGGCCAATTTATATAAATGAATTTCAGTATTTGTGCTATTTTCCAGGTTCTAAAATCTCTTAAATGTCTTGAACATTTTAATTATAACAAAAACACCAACAGAGAATTAAAAATCTATCTTTGTATTTGCTATTTGACAATACCCTGATATCATTGAGATTTAAGCATCTGTTTTAAAAGTTGCTTACCTCACTACCATTTTCTACAGTATGTATAAGATAGAAAATGTGGCTGGACACATTATGTCTCTTAGGCTTTGTGCCTCAGAAGTTAGGGCTGGGCCAATCAACTCACCTTGGTGGAAAAGGAGAAAAGAAGTATTTTATCTTTGTTTTTCCTGCAATGGTTTAAAAGCTGCTGAAGGACCTGGAAATGAACCACAGAAATCAACCACCAGTGAACCAGTTCCAACTAAAAGCACACTTTATACATATAAACATCACTTGAGAATTTCTTAAAAATTATTTTTATACAACATAACCTCAGTCCTCTTTCCTAATTCCCTTGATTTTTGCCAACTTAGAGAAATAAAGTATTAGATATTACATGAGATGTTATTCATCATCATACTGTCAATAATGAGGTAAGGTTCCCAAAGACTTTTGTTTCATCTCATCTGGTTTTAATAAAAAGGAAGCATTTTAGATTATGGGATGCATTTAAATGAATTAATTTAATTTCTAAAACACACTTTCTTTATACCTACAATATGTTCAGAAACTAAATTACAGAACAGCATTCCTTTTAGGAAGTATTTAAGTTTTTTCTAGATAGATATAATGAAATGTGTTTAATTACATCTAGGTTCTAAAAGTCTTGATATTTATTTTCTTAAAATAATCAGTCACATATACACCTCTTCTCATTTTATCCCCTCTGCTTCTCTATTTACAGTAAGCCCTGACTTCCAGATTTGATTTTGACCTCAAAATGTCAATAATTTGCCCCCATACACAGTGCTTTTAGGGAGGAAGCAAATAATCAAAAGCCTATTTATAATAGTAATACTGTTATTTTTAAAACAGGCATTTCCACATCTGGCAATGACAGTTCCAGAACACTGTGGAAAAGTAATCCACAAAGGAAAGAAAAGGAATTTTCTGAACTAAGCCTAAAATTTTTCTGAATTATGCAATAAACACTTCAGCAATTTTGTTTATTCACTGATAAGCATTTAAACTTAAATAAAAAATTGTAAGAAATATAAGACACTTTCAATAGTTGACTAAGAGGACAATGTTAACACTGACCCCCGCCATCCAATCCCTCAGAAAAATCCATGGGTTTAAAAAAAAAAGCTACTCAGATAACCAATCAAATGGTGAATAAAAATGTCACAGATCAGGTAAACCTAATTTTAATACTTGCAGGACTTATAAAGTAAGCTTTGCATTTATTTGCTAAATAAGCTTTGTATTTGCTTTATTTTTTAATAAAATAACTGATTCTATATAAAGTATGTGCATTTGAATTTCACATAATACATTAATTTTTTAAAATTAAAAGACTTTATTTTTTAGAGCAACTTTGGATTTACAGAAGAATAGAGTAGAATATACAGAGAACTCCCACAGACCCCCTCTCCGCCATCTTGCACTTCTGCCCCTCCCCTGCATGCAGCTTTCCCTATTATTAACATTTTGCATTAGGGTGGTACATTTGTAAAACAGATGAATGAATAAATTATTATTAATAATACATTATCATTAACTATTATTATTAAATTATTAACTATTATTATTAACTAAAGTCTGTTTATATTACTTACATTAGGGTTAATTCACTGTGTTGTACATTCCATGAATTTTTATAAACATGACATATACATGACATATAATGGTATGTATTCACCATTACAGTATTATACGGAATAATTTCACTGCCCTAAAAATTCCCTGTGCTCCATCTATGCGTCCCTCCTTGCAAACCCCTGGCAACCATTTATCATTTTACTTTCTCTAGAGTTTTGCATTTTCCAGAATGTCATATAGTTGGAATCATACAGTATGTAGCCTTTTAGACTGGCTTCTTCCACTTAGCAACATGCAATTAAAGTGCCTCGAGTCTTTTTTGTAGCTTGATAGCTCCTTTCTTTCTATTACTGAATAGTATTCTATTGTCTGAATGTACCACTATTTATCTATTCACCTACTGAAGGACATCTTGGTTGCTTCCAAGTTTTGGCAGTTATAAATAAGATTGCTATAAATATCTGTGTACAGGCTCTTGTGTGAATATAAATTTTTAACTCATTTGGGTAAACACCAAGGAGTGTTGTAAATAACAATTCACAGCTAAGAAATCTTGGGCCTAACTTTTCTCAAATTAGTCAGGCCTAGAGATGAACATGACCCCTATATGATCCCAACAGCACTAAATTGGGTCCTAAGTCTTTTTCCCCACCCCCTACAGTAAGTGGCTCTGTGGTATTTCCCGAGGGAAGGGAAAATGAAGATTCTTATCAGGGGAGTAAGTTCAACTTGTGACCATCCACTTGAATAGTAGTTGAGATCACAAAAGACCTTTACATATAAAAGAAAAAGGTTGAGTTCATGAGTGTAGTTTTGAGGGTATGAAGGGTACAATGAGCATTATATCAACAAATAAATTACAGCTGCAGGCTGACCTATAATAAGAGAAGCACAACTAGCATCTTTTATCACCTGAATTCAAGATATACATGCAACTTGGATTTCTTAACTCTCCCCATAGGCAACAGATTATATGCCTATACATTCTATATCACTAAATTACCAGATGATGTTGATAATCAAATGATGAAACATAATCTTAAAAATATAACCCTAGGTTATTACTATCAGTCTCTGTCTTGCTGGTGTTCTCTCACAAAACAAATAAACTACAGGCTTCTTTCACATATACAAACACCTACCCAGCCTCCAGCAACAATTCATGCTTGCTTTTTCCCTTCTAAAAATCATAACAAAAAATAAATGTAATAATTATTTTAATCAGACATTGTTATTCCTAGATATATAACTCCAATAGTACATTTTAAATCATATGTTGAGTATACAAGAATATAAAATGTAGAGTTATAAAATTCCATTTAATATTAAGAGTAACTTTTTAGTGAAGAATCATAATGAATGCAATTTAAATATATAACAATAGATAATACAGTTTTCACAGGAGGCCATGGTTTCTGGCCTGGGAAATAAGTGGGATAATAAGTGCTCAGTTCTAAATTAATTGAGCTTTTTATATTGTTTTATTTAAAAATAAATAAAAGTCAATAAAATGGATGACAAAATAGATTAACTATTGTTAGGAAAGATTGTTAGGAACTTTACTATTGTTAGGTTTGAATTATTTATTAT